AGAAAGCCTTCATGGGAGAGAAGGGATACTAAGTTGAACTTCGAAGGATGTTAGAATTTCTGCAAGCTTTTTCAAGACATCTTTCCACAGGTAATCAATAATGTATACAGTGTAAAGCTGTTTAGGGAAAAGAGAGCAATAAAGCAAAGCTGAAGCATAAGAGGGTAGAAACTGGGCAGTGGAGCTGAAAGCTGTAGGTCAAGAACCTGGAAACAGTAAAGACCTCCTTATTCAATTGCACAGACAGAGGAACCAGGGGAAAGACATCCTTATCCCTATGAGGTAGATAGGACATAATCTGACCTAAAATCTCAGAGACTCCCACGAAGTGTGACTCTCAATCCTCTGTTGCCCTGCAGTTACTAGCGGTATGAATCTTAATACAAATGACATCTACAATTTGCTGCAGGAACAGAGTGGGAATTAGGAAGGCTACGTCTGTTCCACTGTCAATATTTGGAAAAAAGAAGGTCCAGGTGGGTGTATAGTGGCAGCTAAGAGGAAAAAAGGAACACTGGCTCAATTCTTGGGCCATAAGCAAACATTGACTCCTGTAAATAAAGACACAAAAAATACTCCAATACAATTTAAAAGCAAACAAACTGGGAATAATGTTTGTGGAAAATAAAGCCAAAGGTTCTTATCCTTAATTCATAATAATATTCATAATAATATTTTGAATATTAAAATATGAATAGAAAACATAAGGAATTAAAATTATTCAAGTTCCTTAGTAATTTTTAAAATGAAAATAAAAAATAAGGTTATGGATTGACATATATACACTAATATGTATAATACTAATAAGAACCTGCTGTATAAAAATAAAATAAAATAAAATTCAAAAAAAATACGATTATGCTTTTTCTTTAAAAAAGGAAAATTATTTTAATAACAATCTCAGTGTTGGCAAAAAAAAATTTTTTTGTGACCTGTGAGTAAAAATTCTGGAAACAATCCGACAAACTGTATCCAAAAACTATTTGATTCAATAATTACCCTTCTCTATTACTCAGCTATAAAAAGAAACAAAATTGAGTTATTTGTAGTGAGGTGGAGGGACCTAGAGTCTGTCATACAGAGTGAACTAAGTCAGAAACAGAAAAACAAATACTGTATGCTAACATATATATATATGGAATCTTAAAAAAAAAATGGTTATGAAGAACTTAGGGGCAGGACAGGAATAAAGACGCAGAAGTAGAGAATGGACTTGAGGACACGGGGAGGGGGAAGGGTAAGCTGGGACAAAGCGAGAGAGTGGCATGGACTTAATATACTACCAAATGTAAAACAGATAGCTAGTGGGAAGCAGCCACATAGCACAGGGAGATCAGCTCGGTGCTTTGTGACCACCTAGAGGGGTGGGTTAGGGAGGGTGGGAGGGAGATGCAAGAGGGAGGAGATATGGGGATATATGTATATGTATAGCTGATTCACTTTGATATAAAGCAAAAACTAACACACCACTGTAAAGCAATTATACTCCAATAAAGATGTTAAAAAAAAAAGAATCCTTAAACAGAAAAAAAAAATTACCCTTCTAAAATTATATCTCTTGAGAAAAAAAGAGAATTGGACAGCAATGAATTCATAAAGCTCTTTACTACACTGTAATCTGTAATACTGAAATGTGTAAATAACCAAACTCCATAACAACAGGTAAACGGTTAAATTAGGGTACATTCATAGGATAAAATACTCAGCTATTTTTTTAAATAAATTTATTTATTTTTGGCTGCGTTGGGTCTTCATTGCTGTGCACAGGCTTTCCCTAGTTGTGGTGAGCAGGGGCTACTCTTCATTACGGTGCGCGGGCTTCTCATTTGCCGTGGCTTCTCTTGTTGAGGAGCAGGGGCTCTAGGCATGCGGGCTTCAGTAGTTGTGGCACGTGGGCTCAGTAGTTGTGGCTCACGGGCTCTAGAGCACAGGCTCAGTAGTTGTGGCACACGGGCTTTGTTGCTCTGCAGCATGTGGGATCTTCCTGGACCAGGGATCGAACCCGTGTCCCCTGTATTGGCAGGCGGATTCTTAACCACTGTGCCACCAGGGAAGCCCCTCAGCTATTTTAAACAGTATTTTTGAGAATGCTGAAGTGGCATGAGAAAATATTCAAAAACAATAAAAATATAAGCAAATGTAAAATTATATATTTGATAATATTCCAATTTTTAAAAAATATTTTTATATGCATGACAAAAAGCCTGTTTTAGGGAAGTGGGTCCAAGATCTCATCAAACTGACTATGCACCCACTGTATTCAGGATAACTGGGGCCTCCTCCCAGAAGTCCATCACAGGTCATTACACAACAGGTAATTAACAGATGTTGAATTAAACTTAATGCCAGTCTTAAGAAATCTGGTGGACACTGATTAGTGGTTCCAGGCCTTCTGCTTCAGAGACAGACACATTGAAGCAGAAAGCCCAGAACCAGAGTTACACTGAGGATGACTTTGTCCACAGACCCTATTAAGACAATAAGCAGCTAGGAGCTGAACACATGATATCCACTGAAGACAATCCCTTCCGTAGTGGTACCTGTTTGGCTTTATCCTGTGGAATTTCCTTAAATAAGAAGCACCATTTACTTCAAAGCTTAATGATTATAAAGTCTAGGAATTATAAAGTCTCATTCAATCTGCTATCATGTCAATCAGTTCCAGAAGGTAAATGCAGAATATAAACAGGGGGAAAGGGGGATCTCTTAGAATGAAATCAGCCCAAACTGCATTATATCAATCTAATAAAAAGTAAACTCTTATTTTACTTTGTGCTTATTGAAATTCTAGGTTTGTAAACTTCCCAACCTCAAAATGTTTCTTTGAAAACACAGTGAATTGCATCGCCCCAATTTTCCTGGTAAGTAGCTACATCAGTCACTCAGTAACTGAGTATGGACTTCAGATTCTCCACTGCACAACTCAAAGAGTGGATATTTCTAGAAATATGGATCTGAGCTTCCATTTCCTTGTCTTCACTTTCACTTAGGCTGCTCTGACAGGCAGGATCACCGATGAGAACAAACCATAAAGTGGTAAACGGGACCTGTGAAGGAATCTGTGTTCACTTTTCAGTCCAGCCCTGAGTGGCTGAGTACATCACAGACTGACTTAACTTTGCCACAGACACCTTCCATCTCTATTGAGGTGCCACAGACACCTTCCATCTCTACACAAATACATCTGTGTAGTAACTGGGCAAAAAAGCACCATGAATTGATCATAAGGCAACGACACTACAGAAATGCCTTTTAAGACACACTGCTATAGTGTAAACCGTGTACAAATCTGAGAACAGCAGTTTATCTGAGAGGCCTTGGTCAGGCTTACTCAGACTAAACACTTCAGGATCTACGATCCAGCACTTATTCAGAGGTGCTGAGTGTAAACAGCACCAAAATTCAAAAAACCTTCCTAAAATTCTCTCTAATGAAATGTGAAATACTAAAGTATGAAATCACGTTTTCTAAAAATTATGACCATGTACCCAAATGGATGTGGTTTTAGAGATATAATCTAGACATTTCAAAACTTAAACATCAAGTCACTTACTAGAGCCAATGAGAGAGAAAATATGTAGCAGAGAAGAGTTTCACACAGGAGCTGAGCAGGGTTTGGATTACTGCTCTCTTGGTTATCTTTCCCCTCATCTATGCCTTCAATCCCCTGCCAAGACAGCCTCCAATGTGTATCTTTATTGGCAGATTTAATGCTACTTTTGTTCTTCTTCAGCTCTACTCTAGCATCCCCCCAAAATAGAAAAGTTTGCACTTAACTTTTTAAATATAGATTGTATATGCTCTTTGGTTGTTTGCTTTTAAGAATGACATAAAATTAAGGGATATTTTAAGCACCATCTGCTCTCTTGAAACAATGGGCAATAACTTCCTAATTGTCTTACTTCATGTATGTGTTTTAAATCTAGAGTGTCCTTTATGATTATTGCAGTTGGCATTTTCTTATTTTATGTAGCCTTTCTTGCCTATATCTGTACATAGCAACCAGGCTGGGTTTTATCCCCTCTTTCTGCCATTCCTATTTCAATTTCCCATTATCATATAACTGTTGACAAAAGTCATTCAGTTACTTTTTCCTGTCATGTCTTCCAAATTCACTGGGATAATCCTTTATGAGGACACAGAAATGCAATTCTAAAGGAACTTATTAAAATTTATTTAACCAATCCAATCCTTCAAATATGAGGACACAGTTAGAAATGCTGTCATTCAGTAAAACAGAAACTATGATGGCATTAACTATCTCCCAGTATTAACTGCGGTAGAATAAGCTGAGATGCTGGTGCAGGCAGGGCCCGTCAACAAAGACAGGGCTGGAAACGTGCAAGTGCTCCAGGTCCACCTAGCCTTCTGCTCTGCAAGGGGGAGGTGGGGGGAGGGAAACAGGGCAATGAACTAAGGCATTCGTTTTCAAAGTCCTGATTTGTTAACGAGATCTGTGCAATGAACTCTTATGCACTACTGTGGTTCTATGATGGCCCACAAAAAAAATCCACGGCAAGCACCTGTCCTACTCTATTGGGATAAGCTAGAAGATTTTTCTAATAAATATTTACACTCTAAATGTTTTACTTGCCATAAATGAAAGATGTATTAAAAGGAAAGCTGTTTAAAGACATTGGAAAACAATGTGAACAGCATTGATTAACTTTGTGTAAATTTTTTAAAAGATAGAGACAGACATATGCTAATATTTTTGAAAGGATATACAAGGAGTTGTTAAAAGGCTTTACCTTTAAGGAATGGACTAGAAAGGATGCCATTAAATATTTTTCTGTACTCTAAGGTTTTTGGCCATGGACATATACTAATATTTTATACATTTTTGTTGTTGTTGTTGTTGTTGCGGTACGCGGGCCTCTCACTGTTGTGGCCTCTCCTGTTGCGGAGCACAGGCTCCGGACGCGCAGGCTCAGTGGCCATGGCTCACAGGCCCAGCCGCTCCGCGGTATGTGGGATCCTCCCAGACCGGGGCATGAACCCGTGTCCCCTGCATTGGCAGGCGGACTCTCAACCACTGTGCCACCAGGGAAGCCCACTAATGTTTTATACATTTTAACAACAGGTAACAATACAAAGAGTCATCATGATTTCCTTTCAAATAATTTTCTGTAAAATTAAAAGGATTCTAGTACATGGCACACCATAATTTACTCAATGATTCCCATATCATTGGACATAATAGTTATAATTCAAGTTTTGCTGATAAAACTAGCACTACAACAATCATCTTTGTAAGTGTACTTTTGCCTGCATTTCCAATTATTTCCTAGGAGTGTAAGAAATGGATCAAAGGGCATGGAGATGTTGAGGGGTATTGATACACATTACCTTTTCAGGATACTTATCCCAATTACACCACCACCAACAGAAGTACAAAGTGATCAGTCTAACAAGTACATTCTCAAGAGTAATGGGAGTTTTCCTTATGTCTTTACTAATATGATAAGAAAAAAAAAATCCTTCAGTATTACTATGAATACTACTGAAGTCTGAACAATTTTTTAGTTTTCAAAGAAACAGGTTTTCATGCTATTTCAATAGTCATCAGAAGAGTCCAATTCTTTGTTAATTAATACTTAAAATTAAAGGACAGAATACACGTTCCTGAGAACTGGGAATATAAGAAACACTGAATATAATGACCAAGCCGTATAAAAATATAGTTTATGCAAATTTAGAAAGTTGCTGGAAACAACCTATTCTTTTCTCTTAATTCACATATGTATGCAGTATGTAAAAGTCATGTCTGGACGAGAGTCAAACTTAGCAGGAATCTACAATGTCCATGATGGTTTCCTTTCCAAGAATTTACAACACATGGTCTTTCGAATTCAACAGAGGGCCCAAGAGACACAGTATGTTTTTGAACACATAAGCAACAGCTCCTTCAAATGTCTCCTCTTGGCAATCTGGCCCACAGAACTCCAAATGCTGCCCTCATTTTGGCAGAAAGTAAAAGTGAATGAATGTGAGAATTCAGTAGAAATATATAAAGCAATCCATCTGCACAGCCTGCTGTTAGCACGTATGCTGCAAATACTATCCCCACAGCCACTGTTTCTCAGCACCTCAGGCCTGAACCCCACCAGTCTTCCCCAAATAGTATTAGGGAGTTCCCTGACTTAGAAATGACCATGATGAATGGCTTTTTAAAAATGTACTCAGTGAGAGAGGCATGGTGCTAGGTGCCTGCCCCCATTGTGGCCCCCATCCTGGTAAGGCACCAGTTAAAGCCCTCTTTACAGGTAGGAAAACTATGGCTCACAGATGCAGGTTACACAAGTACCACACACAGAACCAGAATTCTAACACGGCTCTGTGTGATTGGGTTGGGTCTTTGTTTGCTTGCACTCAAATTAGCCATCAAAGCACTTTAACTAAGGAAAGAAATACTCTGGAGATGGAGCAACAAACACTTGTATTTCTGACAGAGTTATGAAAAATAAAACACTGGCCTGCTTTCTCCAGGCTTTGATTTTAAACAGAAGCCTTTCAGCTCTCTGACCTGGTGTCCAAAGCATGGGCTTTAAGCTAGGTCTCGTCCCCTTAAGATCGCAGGCTGGAGACTTCAGTGCTTCCTTGTCCTCATTTAGAGAGACGAGTCTCCCATTACTCTCCTAGGGCAAGCTGGCGGTTTCCTCTATTTCTCCACCAATCCTACCCTCCTTTCTATTTGGCCAAGATTGGCCCACTGATCTGATCCATCATCGCTGGAAAAGGAAACGGGAATTCTCTTAGACCAGCCAGGCCCACCACTGAGCCAAGGTCAATTCCCCAAACTGGAATTCTGCGAGAAAGATGCAGAGGAAACACAATCCTAACCCACCACACATCTATCCAGTCCCCACCACAACTCTGCAAGGCTCCTTACAGATTTAATTTCATTTATTTTTCAGAACAACTTAAAGAGGCTATAATCTCCATTTTACATATGGGAAAAAGGTATTTAAAGAGGTTAATTAAGTACTTGCTCCAATCACACAGTTAGTAAAAGGAAAAGGCAGAATTCAAGTCAGAGCCTGGCCAAGCCTTGAACTTGTTGTCCGCCTTCACTGCACAACAATGCCTCCCTAATATATGAGGAAAATGAAGCTCAGAAGAATTACATACAGCCTGAGAGGGATTCAAGACAGTCTGTTAGTCTCCAAAGTGTCAGCCGCCTCCACTACCCTGTGTCACGTCAGGAGTGATCCTGATGACAATACTAAGCAGATCATGGAATCTCAGTAACTACTTGAGCTATATTTCTAATGAAGCATCTTGAAGGGAGATATAAGATATAATTAATTTTATAAAGCTAACTTTGATATTATACATGGAACATAAGGCATGCTAAATTCTTCTGCTTTAATGTTTTTCTAGCCTTTTACTAAAAGACTATAAAATATTAGCAATGTTGGTAAAATACATACATACAATCCTCATTGCCTATCTGCCAAAATACTGCTAGTTATGATTATAAAATAGACAGTTCCCCAATATTACGATTTTATTTCTTCATATTTTTAACAACACTAATTTGAAACTTCCCTTACTTAGCTACTTATTCATTGGTCATACTCAAGTATGATAAAAATCAAAATATCGGACAGTAAGAGAAACAAAACTCCATCATAAAACTGCACTCAGCATTATAAATAAGCAAGAGGCATACAAGTATCGATATTGCTCTCACTTAAGGACAGCACTTGGCAGGATCAGCAAACTGATCAATACAAATGAAAGACAAAAATAATGCCAGATGGAATTAGCTGTGAGCACTAACTATCACAGATAGAGCCACAAGGAATCAATCAGTGCTCTAAGCTATCATGTTGGAAATCATCCCTCCAGAGTATCTGGAATGTCCAGAAGATACTCTTGCTTTACCTTCCTCCTTTCAGAATGAGGCAAAAAAAAATATTACTAGGCATAGTTTGTAGGGAATAAAAGCATAGTAAATTTAAAATGCTAGGCATGGCTGAAAGAGGGAGAGAACCAAGCACTGGGCTTCTATATTATATCAGACTTTTTTAGGGTCTGCCTAACTGGGGGCACCTTTCCTCTTTGAATCGTCTAACGCTCTGATTCTTCTAACTGCGAAAGTGCGGAAATGTTAAAACAGTAATAGAGATTAATCAGGGGTTTCTTCACCCATTCTTTATTCCCTTTGATATTTAAATATCAACACCCTGTTCAGCTACTACCGTCATTACTTTCAACCTTCTGCTTGAGAAGGGGCTCTGGTGGGAGAGTGTTCCGGGGCTGCAGCCCCCGTGGGAATTTCCGGGCTACAGTTCTGACAAGCGGTTCTGAAGAGAGGTGTGTTCACGCTTTCTATCATCTTGCTCACAGCAGAGGGAGGATAGACTGTGGATCCACAGATTAAAGTCTAATTATTGCCACTGACCTCAGTGAAATCCCATTAAAGCTCTCTTTTGATTCAAAGAGGTCACAGCAAATGATCAAGTAGGCAAGATGCCTACATCAAACTTCAAACTGGGCATCTGCTCATGTTGCTTTTGTTCAATCAGCAGAGAACAAGTATCTTGAAGGAAAGGGAACAGTGACCTTGGTTGGCATACCTTATATAAGAAGTCCTAATTCACACTTAGCTCTTCTGTTGAGAAAGGAAAATCACTATGTGGCTAGGCCAAGGGTTCAGACCCCACCTGAGGAATTTTCCCGAGTCCTCCTATAACTAGCTTTTTCTGTAATTTACAGCATTGAATCAAAAGATTATATAGATCTTTTGAGGGAGGTACTGTGCAAGAACAAACAATTAGCAACCAGATCGTAAAGTTATCAAGTGAATCCTTGTTAGGATTAATCACTAGCAAGCGGTCGTCCCCATATTCAAATCCAGCCCCACTAGCTACAAACTGTGCTCTCTTTACCCCTCGCCATGCTGCCTCCTAATCAACATGTGGACATTTCCACCACAGCTTTTGAATAAATTTAGGAACAGGACCACTATTTCAACAGTACAGTCTTAGCAAGGCAAAGTGATTTTCCCAAAGAAAATCAGCTTATTGGTGTTAGAAGAACTGACTTTATTTTAATGGTCCATGTTTCCTTTTTCTTAGGTTGTCCGAAAACCTTCCAAATCGATCATTTCCCTTCCTGCTATGAAATCTTAGGCTTCATCATCTGAATTGACGTGATGAGTTAAGTTGTAAAAATGGATGTCACATATGGACTGGAAAGCTTTAGGTTCTCAGAAGAAAATGTTTAAATGTGGTAAATTTATACATTACATTTATATACAAATTGCATTTATAATTATTTTGGTCTGTTTGATAGAGCTGCCAGTGAACCTTTAGCTGCAATGTAAAAAAGAAAACATCAACCCAAACAACAAAGGCCTATTTAATTCACTAAAGACCACTGGTTCTCAACCCAAAGCATCCAGCAGACTCACCTAGGGGGATTTTTAAAATGCAAATGCTGTATCCCTTCACCAGAAATTCTTATCCTATTGGTCTGGGTGGGTCCATGCTTTTAAAGCTCCCAGGGTTGAGAACAGCTGCTGTAGACTCTAAATGTGGATCGACTGACCAGACAGAGACCACACATGTCTTGTTTACTACTTTCTTAACTGAAAGCACAGGGCCCAGCACATAACAGGTGCTCTCCCAAAATGACTTGCCATTTACTTTCCTAGCTTCCTTATGGTTTGGGTTGGCCATGAGATATAAAAGTTTTTTCAGGTAGGGTTCAAGGAAAGATTTTCCTCCCAGATAGAGGGACGAGGGTGAGCCACATTCTTGCATTGTCCCCCTCCTTCCTCCTTGGAAGAAACACGTCTGCAGTAAGCACAGCTATAGTGGCAAGCTTGCTAATAAATACCCTCCCACGGAGGAGAATGAGACAGAAGGAGGGGAAGAGCATGAGACCTCATGACAGTGCTGAGATGCACCAACCCTGGGGCCACCTGGCTCCGAATCCCTCAAGCGAGGAAACCACCCCTTACTAGATAAACCATTGCTTGTCTTCTCAGTGGTAGTTGCAGAAGGAGGAAAACACAGTAAACCCTGTGTGGGAGAGAATGAGAAGCTGTGGGGAACCAGGAAATCTGTTTGTTATAAATGCTGGGGGTGCCCAGAGCCCAAATGATTCTCCCATTATCCCTCTGTTCCCTTGAGGGGCTGGCCAACCTGCTTCCCTCAAATACTGCCAAGGTGTTCTTCCCACTACTCTCCTAGAATTCTGGATCACCACTGACCAGAATACTCACTCCCAACTTCTACCGTCTTCTCCAAACATTTATCTAGGACACAGCCTTTTACGGAATTTTTTACTGTGTTTACTGTTATAAACACTGAAAAAAAAAAAAATGGAAAAGGCAAAAGAAATGGTAAACAAAAAATTCCCCAAAGCTTCAAAAAGTGCTTCAATAAAATTAGGTCCCTGATAATCATGAAATATGTCAAGGTAGGAGCATAATAAACTTTGTTCTGATTCTCTACATACAGACCTTTTTGTCCAGACTGATGCCTCAGGATCCCCCTCACTCCTCAAAATGAAGAAGGAAGTAAAGAACCTTTGTTTTTCCCCAACTTAATCAAAGAGTAGGGTGGTCAAAGCCTGAGAGGTAACGATGGGCTAAAAAAGAATTCATAAGTAGGTTGATCAACAGATCATAAGAATACAGAATAAAGTGTCCACTGGCTTTAAGAACCCAAACAAAAACAAATGCCAGAGAGAATCACCACCACCTGGTGGTGATTGTCAACTACAGCTTACGTGGGACAGGATCATTCTGAAGCCTCAAGTATCTTAAAAGCGATCCTACAAATCACATACTTGGCTGGCACCTGTTTAACCCACCACATCCAAGGAGATGAATCCAGAAGGATATGGGGCACTAGGGGGCCAACCTTCTGCCTCTAATCTCAACCTCACCATCCTCATTTTAGGCAACATCCCAACTCCTTGGTTTGAGAAAGGGGGCTAGTAGAGGACAGAAGACATGCATTATCTCTGAGATGGCAAGAAGTAACATGTGTGAAGTGCCCTGCACAACGCCTGGCGGATTGTGAACAATGTCGGCTACTACTACTATCAAACTAGATGAAAGGAGAATGGCTTAAAGACAAATTAATTTTTCTCAGTATAGGGTACACATTATTCAAAAAGCCAATTTACTTTTTTTTTAAGGGATTGAGTTAACTAAAGCCTCAAAAACAGATATTATCTTGATTTCAGGTTAGCAACAGTATCATAAACCATATACCTAGTTCCATTCAAATCCCATAATCCAGCAAATTTAAATTAGCACTGAATGAAATCAGGCTCCCTATCTCTGAGGACTCAAGCCCCAAATATCTCTCCTGCAGACACAATATATACTAATCAATTGGCTCTCCTAATAGTCTACTTGAAGTCTCAGATTTTCTGAATCCCACAACTCAATACTTCATCAGAACAAAATGGGGACATAACGTGACTATTTTCTTTCTTAATACCTCTTCTCGTTACATAAATACTAACTTCCCAGTTAGAGTACAAACTCCTAAGGACATGACTTTGTATGCTTCTTTTTCTCTACATGGTATTTTCTCTTCTTTCCTTTAAGCTCTGTAAAAAAGGCAGAGGAGAGTCACTCATCAGCACTGCTATGTTGTACCGCCAGGATCCAGGACATAGAGACAAAGTAGAGGTAAAAAGATAAAGTGCAGAATATAAAATCACTAAACTCCCGAAGTTCATATTTTATATGCCATACCAGACACTTAAAATCAGAATGCCAAGAACTGTTAAATGAGCAATGTGCAACACTGTCTACATTTTCTTTCCTTCACAAGCTGTAAGAATAGAGAAATGTCACTACACTGGTATTCTACAATCCAAAGCATATTAAAATATAACCTAGAGACTCACTGTTAAAATGATTCCTGATTACTTTAATAAAGACCGCCCAAGATTAAAGATTTTTTAGGACAACTGCTACCTGACTTAGGAAAAACCAAATTTAATTTAAGAGAAGGATTGAAATATAAAATAAAATGAACCCATATCATGGTTCTTGCATCAAAGACAATTTAATAGTTGAAATCCCTTCCAGATTAAAAGGAAATCAATTTCAACATTCTATCATCTCTTTTTAAACTTGTTCAAACGTTTGAGAATTCAAATGTCCGAATGCTTTAAAGTTAGATAGTGAAGTAATGCTCTTGGAGTTCATAAGAGAACATTCCCAGCTCTGCAGTGCAATTTTTCAACTTTCTGGCATATCATGTTAATAGATTATCACTTAAAATAAAATTAATGTAAAATATGAGATATCATTTTGGAGTCACCAACTATTACCTTTCCTTCCAAGAAGATAATGTTATTTATCATGCCACAGATAAGTCTCTCATGCGGCACACACTGTCATAAATACACTGCTTCTGATGGTGTAGGCTAGATATGACTGTCCCCCAGACAATGATTCGTTTTTACTCAAGAAAATCAGTACAGTAAATAACTTTTCTTCCCTTAGAGACAATCATAGTGCTGGAGGCTGCTGCAACACAAAAACATAATATCTTCACAAATGTCTCCAAACAGTCAAGCTGAAAATCTAAGCCAAAGTTTCATTTAACAGCCTGTCAGTTTTCTGATGTGAAGCTAATGAATGCAGTGGCAAACAAATCCATCAAACCTAACATCAAAACAACGGCACTTCATCCCACCAAACGGAAATGAAATACAACCTGCAGGCCAGCTCTCTGATCCGTCCTAGCTAGGAAGCAGACCTGTGAATGCCACCACAGCTGCTGCACAGAAGTTACCACAGACTCCATTTCACCACAGACAGAACGAACGTTCCAGGAACAGAAAACATTCATCTCGAATATACAGCAATATCTTAGTTCAACTGCTATGCAATCTGGTAGATATTTTTAAATCTCTACTAGAAAAAAATATATAGTGTTTCACTCTAGATTACTCTGATATTCAAAGCTAGAAAAATGCCTAAAATAACTGGATGATATGTTCCACTCATACTATAGCTTTGCAAATGGAGGTTTATTAAAAGCCCTTCTGCTCTTTATGAAAGCTCCTTGAAGACAAAGAAAACAAGTCCTTTTGTACAATCATGTAGCACAATTTCTGTTTCAGAGAAGAAACTCACTGGGCACTCACCAAAGCTGAACTCTGCCTATAAGTAGGCATATGGGTACGTGGCCACCTGGAACATTCCTCTCAATTTTTTTCAGTGAAAAACCTTAATTCTGATAAATTAAATGGGGTGGGGGGGAATTATACAACTGCTTTCTTAGGTAGGTGGGCCCTCTTAAGGCAAGGCCCTTCTCTTCTGGAGTATCATGCAGGATTTGGCTTGCTATATTTACTAGGTCAAGGCAAAAAAGAGCTGAATGATCCTAAAGAGAAGAGAGGGAAAGATGGAAACAAGAGGAATGGCAAGGCCAAGGGCATTAGCAGGAATTTTTAGAAACAAGGATAGTCAAATTAAGTTGCTATCATGGCTCATTTCTACCTATGTCTGTTACCTAAAGACCTTCTCCACAATCTAGGCACAAAAAAAGCCTTATGTGAGAGGTGAGGCAGTTTGGGTAGATAGTATAATAAAGAGCCCTCTGGACTAAGTGCTAGAATACAGGGAACATACCGACAGGCAGTAGAATATCCACATAATAATTATTGTTGTTATTATTATTATTTAGTTGAGAATATCAAAGGTTCAGGAATTTGCTGAAATTTGGAAGACGAGTATTTGGGATCACCACAAATAATGGCATGGAAGTTCTAATCAATGTTAGCTATACTTTAAACAAAGAGAAGGTTTCATGAACCAATACCACATACCAAAAGGTCAGTAATACGTTCAAAGGAAATCCACAGAAACCCCATCTCCTGTCCTGCTCCAGAGATGCCACCAGAGGTCAAGTAGCCAACAACAAAGGAAGCAGTCCTGGATCCCTTGCAGTGCCAACTCTACCCTCACTTCTGGCTCCCATCAAATAGGTCAGCCTCCAAGTGATGAATTCACAGATACATACATGGTGCCTGGTATAAAGCAGACAAGCATTACCTGAAAAAACAGAGCTCTGTCCCCATCTACATTAAGCCACCTGAATGGCTTAAAAGGTTCCTATTAACCAAGGCCTGCTGGCTGTTAAACAAAGACCACCAATAATATCAGTGAACCTGGGGTTATCTTTCCAAAATTATTTTTTAAATTAAAAAATAACCTCTGGGGGACTTCCCTGGTGGTCCAGTGGTTAAGAATCCACCTTCCAATTCAGGGGACGCAGGTTCGATCCCTGGTCAGGGAACTAAGATCCCACATGCCATGGGACAACTAAGCCCACATGCTGCAACTACTGAGCCCGCATGCCACAACTACAGAGCCCACGCGCTCTCAAGCCCGCGCACCACAACTAAAGAGAAGCCCGCATGCTGCAACGAAAGATCCCACATGCTGCAACGAGGATCCCATGTGCCACAACTAAGACCTGATGCAGCCAAATAAATTAAATAAATTAATTTAAAAAAATAACCTCCCGTTAACAGCTCTTGTCTATGTTATGAAATTAGAAATATTGGTTTGTAATATATGAAATATTATCAGTAGAGATCCTTCACTCTGCACCACGTTAATTAATTAATGCCACACCACAGATACTTTATCAGATGATTTTATATATTCAAATCAACATGCGACGGGTAAAGCAGATGTCATTCCCCAGTGCTTCAACTATAAAAAGTATGCCACTATTTTTAAAATTATCCCCCCTAAATGCATAACTCATTATCACTTGTGAAAAATTACTGTTTTTTAAATAGTTATCATTTAGAATGAATTGAAGAAGACAAAGAATTAAGACTAACCAATTTGGCCATCATCAAAGTTAAAAGTCTTTAAGTACAATTCATAATTAATTCACTATACATTACATTTGTCCCCAGCAAAACACAAAAACTGCCCAATTTACAAATTTTCCTAAGATTAAAAATTACACATGTTCACACACACACGTAAATACACACACACACAATACAGTAAATTCATAAGGTTGCCTAAAGAAACAGAACTTGAAAATCAATAAAAATATGTGTCAAATAAGGGATAAAAGACAATAAAATCTTCCCTCAAAATGCCATCACGGCACATTATAACGTAAGCAAACTTAATTTAGAATAGCCCAGAAAAACATTAATACTGAGGAATAAATTTAAGAAAGCCTAAGGATGTTTTAGTGAAACATTCAAAATTGTATCCAAGATTAGTTTCCTATTTTTATGCAGAATAACCAAAATTCATTACACGAATCAAAGTAGATCCTTTTTTTTTTTTTAATTAATTTATTTTTGGCTCTGCTGGGTTTTCGTTGCTGTGCGCGGGCTTTCTCTAGTTGCGGTGAGCGGGGGCTACTCTTCCTTGCAATGCACGGGCTTCTCATTGCAGTGGCTTCTCTTGTTGTGGAGCATGGGCTCTAGGCGTGCGGGCTTCAGTAGTTGTGGCATGTGGGCTCAGTAGTTGTGGCTCGCGGGCTCTAGAGTGCAGGCTCAGTAGTTGTGGCACACGGGCTTAGTTGCTCCGTGGCATGTGGGATCTTCCTGGACCAGGGCTCGAAACCGTGTCCCCTGCATTGGCAGGCGGATTCTTAACCACTGCGCCACCAGGGAAGTCCCAAAGTAGAGTCTTAATACGTCACCATGTCAGTTATCAGTTGAAGCTCTCTGTGGTAGGTAGAATGCTGACACCCACACCCCCCACCCCCACTTGGTTCCACCCCTAACAGCAAAGATATCCATGTCCTAGTTCCTGCAATCTGTGAATATGTTATTTTTTATGACAAAAAGGATTTTGTGGATTGCTTGCTCTGAAATGTAGGGGACCAAAGCAAGGACCTGAGAGAGGCCTCTAGGAGCAAAGACCTGGTTGACAGGCAGCAAGGAAACAGGAACTCAGTCCTACAACTGCCAGGAACTGAATTCTGCCAACAATCTCACTGAGCAAGGAAGTGGATTCTTCGTCAGAATCTCCAGTAAGGAATGCAGCCCTGCAAGCACCTTGAATTTTGCTGGTTAGACCAATGTTCAACGTATAACCTACAGGACTAGGAAACAGTACAAGAGTATTGTTTGCAACCACTAATTTTATGGTAATTTGCTACAGCTGCAATAGAAAACTAATACATTCTCAGAATAGCACTACCTCACCAAAAGTAAGGAAAGAGTGGAGACAACACCTAGAAACATCTCAAACACATGTAATTACAATTTTAAATTAACCGGCCCAAACTGCATTATAGCCATTGAATATTTTGTACCCAGTAAAAAAAAAACCAGAACCAAGACAGTCATATCCCCTGACTAAATTGAATGATATAAATCAACACAGCATGAGTGGATACCCACATAGCTAAGTTATTTTCCTCCCAACAAATCTATGAGGTAGAGAGGGATTTTTAATCTATAGGAAGAAACGAAAAGAAGAAATGACTTTCCTGATGTTCTCTGGCTAGCAAGAAGATGAGCTGGGCCTCAAATCCCTGCCTCTTCCACTACGAGGCTCTGCTTCCTAACAGCCCCACAGGTCTGGGCTCCATCAGCTGAGAGAGACCTCAGAGAGGACCACTCCTGACCTCTCTTACTTGGTCACACTCCACTCCCACTCTGACCACCCGGAAAGGTGGAAATGCACTCAGGACATTTTAGTCTTGGGAAGAAGCCAATACTCAGAATTAGAACTGAAAGTTGTAGTAAACAAGAACCAACTAATTTTTCTGGTGACTGACAGCTGGGATAGCTGACTTATTATGTCAATGATTAAAGATGCAAACCATAAAATAACATACCTTGTTATAACCTCAGGGCTATGACACTGTTTTGATGCAGATACAAGCATTACTTTTCTGCAAAAGCACGGCAGTAGCTGACCAAGGTATGTACACCGGGCTTTCTGTTTTTTTATTAGGTTTACTGTATTATGAAGGATGCGTAAGGGAAAGAAGTAGTTCAGTTCTGCTCCTTTCTAAATTACCCCTCATAAATAAAAATTACTTAGAACAGAGAAAGTCTTCTAATAGCAGGAGATTTCTTTTATGTCACGAATTCATTCGAATGCTTTCTGAGTTGCTATACTTTTATTTTAATATATTATACAATTTTCTAAATACCTGTGTAAAATAAACCTAGAGTTGTCTTCCCTGAATATATTTCTATCCAAGTTCACTCAATGGTTCCACATGGAAGTTTTATCAATGTAGAATGAATAGTATTTGCCTGGACCATGCAGTGGCCAAGATAAGGCTATACAGGCTGTATGTGCCATTTTCCACCAAACATATGTCAATTTTACATACTCTGTAGTAAAACACACAGTTTCATTAAGAAACTGCCCTCTGCCAGCCTGTACATCTGCCTTAAAATCCACAGGAAAGGAAGCAATCTAATAGGAGCTACCATCACTTTGAAGATGTCCTCTATTTAACGCTGCAGGGGGGCAATTAATGAAATTTAACACAAGTTGCTTGTGAATGAAAATACACAGTTTGTGAACTAAATTAAATATACTGAGCAGGAGATGCAAATTTTTATACCAAATTTAACATTAAGATATATTACTTGTTAAAATACATTCTATACTATTACTTTCAAAAAATTCATTTCTACACTAAAGGCAGTTTGAATTATTTCTTCTGACCATCCTCCCTTCACCTCTTGTTAACAATTTTACCACTTTCCTCTGTAACTAGTTGTTTTCTAAGCCATGGACTGAACTCTAACATGGAAGGAGCCACATCTACCTAATATGGAGTCACAGGGAGCCACCAGAAAATCTCACGAAAAGACTGCTGGCCTTAAGAAAGAAAGCACTGGTTGCATAAAATTACCTCTCAAAGTAAATTGCTCCACATTAATCTCAAAACAGGAAAACACTGCTACAAATATTAATATAGCCTATGTAAAATAAATATATCTGTCTGGAATAAATTACTATGGTGACAAGCACACAACATCATTGAGGAAAAAAATAAATGCTGCATGTGCTCTTAGCTTTCCTACTATAATAATCAGAATACACATTTAATTTAAGCGTTTGGGGCATAACTTACCAATTTAGCAACCTTCCCATAGTCAATCCATCTGACAGTAGCAAAATTTGTAGATTCTGCACAGTTGAAACCATGATTAAAACCAGCATGGTAGCCATATGGGAAAGTGATCATAAATTCGCCAGCCTCCTGGGTGATCTGCAGGGTAGAAAACATATAATATTTCCCAATTATAAGACTTACCAAATTGCAAATACAGTTAAAATGTATTTCCTATTAAAAAAGAAGAAAAAATATGATGTCCGAGATATAAAAGAAGTCCCCCCAGATCCTTTACTTAATCCTTTAATAGTTTTTCAGGAGACTTTTAAAAGAATTTTCTAAACAGGGTGTGACCTTCTGGCAATGTAGTTCAATCATTCAGTCCATGATCAAAGAAATTATATTCTATTTGAAGATGTCTTTGTTTTATGTTATTCAAATAAATTTGTTCTTATTAGCATTCAATATGTATATTTTAATACCTTAAAAATTCACATTACTGGAATTATACAACAGGACTATCATAACTGACATTTTTCAAGTTAGAGCTATAAAAACTTTGATAACACATGCTGAATATTATGAATTCTTGTTGCTAAAGAGTTGATAGTATTCACCAAATTATCCTTTCATAATACTTACAAAACATTCAATTGACTTCATTCCATTTAATAGTAAAATTTCTACCAAATAGTTATTCAAATATATGTATAATATATAAGTATGTATGAGTGGATGAGTGCATTTTCAAATATAATTAAACTAGCTTGGGTAAATAAGCCAGCAGTCCAAAAGCAAAGATGAAAAATGTATTCAGTCCATTCCTAATTTTCAGATTACAGAAATTTGGTTTTTTTATAATCACCAAAGCATACAAAACACACCATGAGCTATAGAAATACAGTGAAGCTAAATTTTTCAGTGTTTTTTTTTTTTAACTTGTCTACTCAATGCTAGACTATCAAATATATAACTCACTGATTCATTCAGTTACCTTGGTTCATTTCAGTCCTAAAATGTTGATGAATGAATATGTGAATATGCACTTGTGTGGAAACATACAGGAGATACACTGTATAAATACAGGTGCACACACTGCAATTCAGTTACCATTTTAGGAATGCTAAAATGTTGTGTGTGGAAGTATTTTCTTTCTCAACAATTCTGAAATTTAGCTCATCACCCCCTCCCCTGTGACACCCCAGCAGGTGTTCTATTGCAATGAGTGGCAACCCAGCTGCCACCTGGCAGGAAGAGAATGGCTTATCAGTGTTCAACATGGTTCCAGTTCCATCATTCCGAGCCACGTTGAGAACAAAGCCTGATTCTCTCCTTTCCTGGTCTCACTGAATCTCATTAATTATAATTGTGCTTGGAAACTAGGCACTTCCTTGTACCATGTGATAAAACAAAACTCACTCTGCTCAACTGTTTCTAGCCCTATAAGGTGGAGGAAGAGGGTAAGTCTGTTGTCAGTGGGATAAGGAAAGTAGCTTCACTGCTCCACTGAATTCCACCTACAATCCTTCTCTACTCTCCCTAGAAAACCCTGTTCTTGCCATGTTGAAAAGTACCTGTTCCCATTAAATTGTTATGCCTCTATATAATTTCTAGAAACAGGTCAATCCCAGTTAGCCAAAATATAAGGCAAATTTACTGCCTCTATGTAACAAACTGATATTTAAAAAAAAAAAAAAAAGATATAGGGGTAGACAAGAACAAGTCCCTTTTAAGACTAACCAAGCATCATAATTCCATACGGCAAAAAATGTCAGAAAGGGTAGTGTACGTAATCAAAAAGCAGAAATTAGCTATTTGTTAAACATACTTTTTCATATATATGTATGAATATGTACAAATTCACTGAAAGAAGAAGAAAAAAATGTTAGTCCAACTGCAAAATGATTGCCTAAAGAGAGAAGGTTACACTGAGGAGGAAGATTGTGTTATTATTATATATAACCTGTACTGTGCAAAGCCCCTCATATAGATCATCACTTTTCATCCTCATAGTAGCCCTATTAAGTGGTACTATTATTATCCCCATTTTCCAGATGAAGAGACTGAGGCTCAGAAAAATTATGTAGTTTACCCAAGTGACGGAATCAGAAATGAACTTGGGAAGTATAATTCTGAAGTCTGTGCTACTCTGTCCCAGGTTATATTATCATCATCAGAGAATAAGCTCCTTGAGGAGCACACAATCATCACACACCCTTCATCAAGGTGGAAGGGGAAATGGTAGTATTTCATATGAAAAACTGCAACTGCCAATCAGCCCTCTAAATTGCTGGTGTCTCACCATCTGTGGACGAGCACTCACCCTTCCACTTCCCACAAAAGCCACGAAATGTCCCATCCTCAAAAGACCAGATGAGAGCCTGGTGCATCTAGTGATCTACCAAATAGCACTTGAAGAGCCTCGGCCCAGAAAGGAGTGTGAGGCACCTGCCTCCTTCTCCCCAAATTTGAGAAAGAAGCTACAAACTCCAAAGGCCTCCATCCTGGGCAAATGAGCCAATCCCGCAGTCCTGCTACTTCACACAACCCCTCTCCAAAGAACAGCTTGATCAATTCCTATCACCAGCCCAAAACCCACAGAGGTTTTCCTGCCTTGGAGGACTCCAGTCTACTCCTTCTCCTCTGCCTTCTAATATTTCAACTTAAATAAAAGTGCTTAATCAGGCTTATGCCAACCACCTGAAAGAACGTGCACTGACGATATGTCTGAGACTGGAAAGCCTGATGCCCAGAGGCATCTGCAAGTAAGACAAGGCCCGCCAGAAGGAATGGCCCCTCTGGGGGGGCGCAGCCTCTGACCTCTGTACCTGCAGTAGTGCTGCAGCCCACCCACACTTGTGGACCTTCTCCATAGTGCACATCTTCAAGGCACACTTTTTGTCATGGGTAAAAGTATGTGACTAAACCAGTGTTGAGAGCATCCTCATCACATAAGACAAGTATGTCTCATGCATGACTACTGCACAGCCTGTTTGTGAGAGAGCGGGACCACCTCAAGTTGGAGAATGTTTCTTCGTCCTTGCAAAAATTCTACTTTGAACAAAGCCTGGGCTGGGGGTGGTGGGGGAGGGAGGTGGAAGACAGGACTTTAAGGGCCTGAGATTAAGAAGAGGGAAAGATTTAGTCACAAGTGAAAAGCTTCTAAGGTGGAAAACAGCAAGGATTATGGGAAGACAGTCAAATAAAAAATGAAAAAGGGAGTGGAACTATTTTTTAATGTTTCTGAAGTAGCTAAGGTCTTAATCCTCCTCCAACTGAGAGAGACCTTTTATTTATCTGGTCAAAAGCTTTTTTCATTTCAGTTTCTTCACATAAAAATGCTCATGCTCTGTAATAATTCTGACCCAATTACTACCCACAGACACAAAGAAAGAGGGATCTAGCATGTACAGAGTCTTACAGAACTTAATCTTCAGAAATACCCCAAGAAGCAATATCTGATTATTAAATCATCAGGCAATTTTATCCATAATGAAATCTCAGTTGTATTATGTCTGAATGTGTTTAGAAATAACATACTGGCACCATAATCACTGATTCTAACCAACCAAACTGCTAATAAAAATTGCTCTGATTTCTTTAAAAAAAAGAAAAATAGATCACATACACATAAATTTTGTTGCTCATATAAGAGACTTCAATGGAGGAGAGCTATATATCTTATTCTCTCAAATGTGCTACATTTTACTTTCAGTATTGTTGTAAGTGAGCTAGAACTGCATGAAATCTCTAGTAAATGCATCTTGAAATAAAAGAAACTTCAAATTAATATTTAGGTAAATAACTGTTACCTAAATAAAACATGAATCTGAATTTTTCTCCCCACATCCTAAAAATCCTACCTGAAGTCAAAGATATATTAGTTTATGTTAAATTTGTCTTAAATACGAATACTATACACATTAAATGAATTTTTTAAAGAGTAACACTAATATACCTTGTCAAAGGGAATACCATATTTCTTCAATACTGAGGGAGATATCAGTGTCATCTTGTGGCGAAGAAATGCATCACACCCTTGAGAACTGCTTGGGAAAAAACCTAAATGGAAACAGTAATTATAAGCAGTAATGTGTCAATTAAGATAAAATTTCAAATCTTTTTTTAAGCTTATGTTCTAGTACTCTTATAGAATGACAGCTTTATGTAAATATAGACCAAGTCCACCATCAAAAACCCTGGTACTAAAAACCAGAGTCAGAATTATTAAAAATTAAACAATACATATTTATATAACCAAGGGTTGACCTTTTTTACAAAAAAAAGATCTGCCAAGAGTTGTTTGCATGATATTAAATGACTAAACCTACAAATTCCAATTTGTAACAGATCTGAACTCAATCTACCTATTAACTGATAAATGGACAAAATATTAAGGGAAGGTAGAAGAGGAAAATCTACATTTTAACAGGGGAATCTCTCATTTTAGACTCCTAGAAGCACTTGTCCCAATGCCTGGCATACAGTAGACACAGCAGTTTCCCACCCTTGTTTCTTTCTGATCGATTTTAAATAGTTTAACTGCTTCTAGTTTCCTGAAGTAACTCCCAACCAGGGCCAGTCAAAAGCTTGGAAACCTGTCTCACCAGCCTGTATGGGAACAGTACATACTGTTTTGAGGACTCCTTTAAATGAAGAAGCTCAACATGCAGAAACCCTTTCATTCAACAGTATATTATGCACTGAAACACAGTTGTTTCTCTCCATCTCTGCCTTCAATCCTGCAGTCTGTCTGAGGCAGACTCTCATTAACTCAGTTATGTAAGCTAGAGGAAAATGAATGTGCCTGATACCCTGTTCTTTACCTTCCTCACTCAGAGGGAAAAACCACCACACTGAGAACGGGAAAGCAAGAAGAGAAAGACAAGAGAAACATGGAAGAGACAGAGGAGAATCAGAGAGAGGACCCAGAAGGAACACAGAACTCACCAGGAAAGCATGTGTGATGTAGCTGGGTAAAGTGGGAAGAAGCACAGATGCTGTTTAACTCCTCCACTACCAAAATGAAGGCCACTGGAAATGCTACTTACCTAACTCTGTGGCTCACTACGTATAAACAGCTCAAGAATATGACCAGTCTGATGAAAGAATTACCAGCGCTCATTACCTAATCATGAACCATTTTAACCTCATAGAATAGCAAGGTTTTACAGGAATAGTTTTAAAGTAAACAAGCCTTTATTGATGCCACCATGGAGTACGTGAGGCCACAGATCATCAGAAGGAAACAAATGAAACATCTAAAAAAAAGCCATTAGGGTATAAAGAACCACCTGCAAAGAGCAGTATATTCTGCTTAAGCATCTACACCTGGATTTTTAAGACGAACAGACAGAAATATTTAAAAAGTACAACCAACAGAAACATCAGAAATACTATCATTCGCTACAATACCAATGGGAATAAAAGGAATAATTGTGCCCTATCTGGTCATTTAATGCAGCCCTCCGTTTATGGTTAATATTCATAATACATAAATAGAAAATAACCTTTGAAAGAATGCAGACCTTAGTGAATGGTGAGAAAGTACCATATAATGCAACAGCCGTATCTATACAATAAGATGTCCTGAGCCTACACCACAGAGAGTAAAGCACAGCAGGGCAGTCCCCAAGCACATAACCCACGGAAAAGTTTTAGCAATACAATTTAAATAGATCTATCAAACTTTTCAAATCTGTAACTCTGTGCAGCACTGCATGAATTAAGTTTTAAATTAAAATCAATGAAGAAAGAGGAGTCTACTTAATTTTCTTTTGATATGGATTTGTAATCAGGACCTGAACAATGTGATGACTGGTCGTTAGTTAAACTGGAAAACCACTGAAGGAAGGCAATTTGCCATATGTTAAGAACTTCATATTGGTTCAGAATTTATATTTTCAATAGGTTATCAGAATTATATTTCACATCGCCCTGGAAAACACCTCATAAACCACAAATTATGACATAATGTATGTGTCTCAAAATGAATTTTACCTTAAAATACCTGCAGAAGTACATGGTTCACACTCACCCTCACTCCACCATTTCTTAAAAATATTTTATTCAATATATAAAGAAGCCAATATAACCAGAATACTATTTGATACAAAATGATAATATCTTTTAAAACTCAGAACTATGCTGGCTAAAGGAATGTTAGCAGCTTTCATAACAAGTGAAAAAAACAAATTTGGAATCACATGTATGAAATATAACAAAAATAGATCAGATAGAAAAGATAAAATTTAATTAAAAATTCAATTTAAGACAATGAGTTTTTGAAAGTCACCAAATAAAGAGAAAACAAGGTATGTGTTAAAATTTTTGCAAGTTAAGTTCTTTAAAATATGCCTTTCAGAAACTTTTTTTTTTTCTATTCTAATATTTACTTTCTTAATGTGCTTTTTTTCTAAGTTTTCAATTTGGAAAGAATTTATTTGGAAGAAGTCTGCTCTTAAACTTACCATATTTGAATGTTACTACTGCAACATTCTGTAAGACTTTCCAATTTACCAGTCACATAATTGGAGAATCCACTCTTTCATAATCTTGAAAACCAGGAAGTTCCAATAACGAAACAGTTCTACACTGACCCCTCAAGTATCTAGTAGTGGACATAGCAGCTAGCAACTCACTACCCCACCTCACATACCCCATGGCCATCAGGTAACATGCCAGGTGTAGAAGAACACACAGAATAAACCTGGCACATCTTTCTGAGCATCTACTTATGTCATGCTAAATTACGTGGTTTATATTTGCATACAAACAAACGTATTAAGGGAGCAAGATGCAAAATCTGCATGAGTGTTGTGGAGTGGTAGAGTTTCACTCTCCTCCCTTGTAGGGATATTTTGGTGGAAGCATTTGAGAGGCAGCCTACTGTGAGGTGCAAACTATGTTATGGGATTTTGTGTAAATCTTGTCCAATCTCCTCTTACAGACACCTAACACACACGCTTACTTGAACACCAAATTTCCTCTCTCATTTACTGCTCACAACATACACCTTCTCATTGCTATTAAATAGCAGACCTAAGTTTTAGATGAAAAAACGTAACTGTTTGAACTATTTGAAGTCACCCTCATCTTGTCCACATGGCTAGCAAAATAAAAGAGAATAACAGTTAAGAATCCCTACAGAGACATGGATTCCTAGCACAAGTCCAACAACTCATATAGCCTTGTCTGGTCCCATAATCTCTCAGCTCCTCAATTTCCCCATTCATATAATCAGGATGCTAGTACTACCTTCCTCAGTGGGGTCTTTTTTTTCTCCCAGCATCAAGATACAATTGACATATAACATCATATAAGATATACAGTATAATGATTTGATATATGTATATATTGTGAAATGATTACCACGTTAAGTTTAATTCACATTCATCACCTAAAAATAGTTACAGCTTTTTGTGTGATGAGTAGCTTTAAGATCTACTCTTTTGGCAACTTTCAATACAGTATTGTTCATTATAGTCACCACAGGGTACAGTACATCCCCCAGAACTTACCAATCTTATAACTGGAAGTTTGTACCTTTAGACCCCCTTCACCCATTTTCCCCACCCCCTGCCTCTGGCAACCACCAAACTGTTCTCTGTACCTATAAGTTTGGTGTTTTAGATTCCACACATAAGTAACATCATACGGTATTTGTCTTTCTGTATCTGACTATTTAACTTAGCGTAAGGACCCCAAGATTCATCCATGTTGAAAGAAATGGCAGGATTTCCTTCTTCCTTATGCCTGAATAATAGTATATTGTATATATATATATGTATAACACTTTGCTTTATTCATTCACCTGTTGATAGACACTTAGGTTGTTTCCATGTCTTAGCTACTATAAATAATGCTGTAATATCAGGGGTGCAGATATATCTTTAGGACAGTGATTTCATTTCCCTCAAATATAGATCTAGAAGTAGAACTGCTGGATCATATGTCAGTTCTACTTTCAATCTTTTTCCACAGTGGCTATCCTCACTGGGTGGATCCTTATGGGAATCCAGTGAGATAATGCACAAAAAACTTAGCCATTATCAAAAAGTGGAAACAACCTAATGTCCATCAACTGAAAAATGGAAGAGCAAAATATGGTATATCCTTACAACGAAATATTAGTCAGCTATAAAAAAATATGAGGTACTGCTATAAGTTATAACATAGATATAACATAGAAGAACACTACATAAAAGAAGGCAGACACAAAAGATCACATATTATATGATTCCATGTATATGAAATATCCATAATATGTAAATACCTAGACAGAAAGCAGACTGCTAATTGCCAGGGGCTGGGGAGGGGTGGGAGGAAATATAGCATGACCAATTAAAAAATACAGGGTCGGGACTTCCCTGGTGGCACATTGGTTAAGAATTCGCCTGCCAATGCAGGGCACACAGGTTCAGTCCCTGGTCCAGAAAGATCCCACATGCCTCGGAGCAAATAAGCCTGTGAGCCACAACTGCTCAGCCTGCGCTCTGGAGCCCACGAGCCACAACTACTGAAGCCTGCGTGCCTAGAGTCCATGCTCCGCAACAAGAGAAGCCACCGCAATGAGAAGCCCGCGCACCGCAATGAAGAGTAGTCCCTGCTCACCGCGACTAGAGAAAGCCCGCGTGCAGCAACGAACACCCAACGCAGCCATAAATAAATAAATAAATAAATAAATAAATATAAAATAAAGGGTTTCCTTTTAGGGTGATAAAAATCTCTTGGAACTAGACAGAGGTGATGGTTGCACAATATGAACATACTAAAATGCCATTGTATTGTACACTTCAAAACGGTTAATGGTTTATTTTACATTTTGTGAATTTAAAAAAATAATAAAACTTAGTCTACTTGACACATAGTAACATTCAATGAATAGTGGCCATTATTATTATCCCTGTTACTCATTTCCACCATGTTGACTCTAGTTATCATGTTAGTTCAACAAATCTTCCATTTCCACCATGATAAGGAACATGTACTCCAGCAATCCCAATAGAGCCCTGAAACCCTAAAAGCATCCCACAATAACATTTGCTAAGACTGCCAAAGTC